ATAAAGTGACGTGCAAGCTCAGATTCCCGAAGGCTGATGATGCAATAACCCCTGCCAATCCCAGTCAGCAGCATCACGAGCATGCATGTCGCGCACTCCCACCTCAACGACAAAGATGCTGTAGAAGATGGCCACGCTAAACTGACAGGATCGACCACAAACTGCTAAAGAAAAACGACCATGACACGACTCCTTGTTGAACCAGACTCCCCTCACGTGGAGCCCCTAGTGCTTGTACCGTCCAGACCGCTACTCAAACCAAAAAACTCGCGTGGCCAATCAATCCGCAGCGCCTCAAAACCCCTATTTAGCATCTTTACTCACCCGAATCCATTAAGGAACCGGTGAGTTACGCAATTTTCACTCCCGTTTTCCCCCTTTTCTCCCTCTCCGCTTATTCCTCCACTTCCTCCTGTTTCGGTGCACCTGGCCAGCCCCCCTGAACAGGTTCATACCCCACCTGGTGAATATAAGCAACAATGCAGCCCGCTTGGCATGGGGCGGGACAGCCCAATAGGAAGCGTGAAGAAGTCCGTCTGCAGGGGCGCAACCACGGATGATGGGGAGGACAACAACCGCAACCGTGGGGATCGCTGCGCTGCTCACCAAATGTACAAAATGACGATGAATTTCCCGCCAGTTCGTGGAAAGATACGCTGCCCTTACAGCCTCAGTCCCCACGCCAGGTAAGTATGCTCAATCCTATCCCGCTGCCCCCTGTCTTCCCCGTCATGTCCATGTTAACTATCTCCCCCTCTTTCCAGCCGTGTTGTCTCCCATACCTCTGTCGGACTCGCTCTCGCCATTCACCTCTTTTCCCGCTCTTCGTCCCCGTCGTTATTAACTGCGTTTCTCAGTTTACTCCTTCGTACGCTGCTGCTACCTTCTTCACTGACCAAACCACCAACCTAGCATGAGGACTAACACCACCATCGGCCTTGCACTGGCCCAGAACCGCAGTTTAGTACCCTCCCTAGCTTGATTCCATTAGGACTCGAGTGAGATATGCGTTTTTCATTCACGCCATAACCACGCTCTCAATACCCCGTGCAACTTCTTCCTGTCTCATAGCATCCCAAATACTGCTCCAACTCCCAAACTAACATTACCATTCAACTCGCAATACCCAAAAACCCCTAGTTTGCCTCTTCCCTTGTCCAATTTCGTTAAGAATCGGATGAGCTGGGTAATTTCCCATCTGCCATATCCACCCTCCTCGGCAACCTAGCACTACAACTAAGGCTACCACTGAATTCGCCTCGCCCAAAAATGGCAGAATAGCATTTTCCCTTATTTGATTCCGTTAGGAATCAGGCAACATGAGCGTTTTCCACCACTTCTCCTTCTTCTTCCTCGTTGCCTCCGCCTTCTTCTTCTTTGCCCCTTTTCAGTTATTGTCAACTCCAGGCTTGTTCTCTCCTCCTATTAGCGCCTGGTCCTACATCAGCTCTTCAACAGCGAAGTATTTTTGGAAAGGAAAAAGAGGCCCATCCCTGACTTATGCTTGTCACTGCTGCGCAGGGGCCATGCTAACCTTCTCTGTGTCGTTCCAATTTTTAACGGATGTCCCGAAGGACAAACGACAATCCCACAGTGGGACTGTGCAGGATCAGATCGGAGACTGAGTCTGTATTTTAACAGTTCAGGGGTGTACCAGCTGAGCCGGGCCCGCGGGCACCACTGGCGCTGCGG